AAAATCTTTTTTTTGGACTTTAACCTGTGCCTAAGTTTCCTTCGCTGCTCAGTCCATCACAGTACTGCAAATTGTTTTTCAGGGGCTCACGGTTGTTACATGTTCAAGTAACTGTACTATATTGACTTTATAAATTAAACAAAGGGGGAAAAAATATCCAGGCTTTTAGTTTTTAGTATGAGTCAGTTAGACAGGCTCTGTAGAACTTGTGGTTCTGTGTGGTCTATAGTACAAGTACAGGTCGTACAGGCTCCAAATAATATCTTGCTGGTTATACAGGTTCCACACGTTACAAAAGATTTTTTAATTCAAGTTTTACAGGTTCTGCTTGATTTTATTAGATGTAGATATTAAACTTAGCAGATTCTACTTATTCAAAACTATAACAATTTTTTGAAAAAAGTCTGAAAACGTCACATTTAACAGGTTCTACAGGCCCTTTCTGACACTGGGCTTTACAGGTATTATTGTAGGGTGCACCTACAGGCTTTACAGACTGGTTCTATCATAAAGGAGATCAATAAGCCAAGGGAGTCATTGGCTTATTTTCTCATAGACTTCTAAACAATAATAGTTGTTTAGAAGTCCAGAGTTGCTGCCCCCTGCTGACCATCTGAAATAATGCATCCGCTACTTCCGCATTAAAACTTATCCATTAGTGAAAAATATGCCTGTCAATGAATATTTTAATTTTGTTAAGACAAATTAATATTTTATTCAAAAGGAACATTTGATTCTGAAAATTAATCAACACTACCAGTAGCTCACTTTTTCCTGAGTGGTACAAATTGTTAAGCTTTTCCATTTGTTAGAACCAACACTGTTGGTGTGTTAACAAATCACCATGAGCTATTTGGCATCAGCTGATATAAAAGTCTCACTGCCTAAGGCACTGCTGCCATTGAAAGGAAAGAGCCATAAAGATTGGGCCTAATGAAATATTTGAATAGTGTGATATTAAGTATGATTTTTTGAATGAATAACTTAATAAATTTGATTGCTCAGGTAGAGTAGAAAAGTGCTAAATGAGTACCTGTTCATTTACCTTAAGTATCAGCATTGGAGACAAATGGTTTCCGTCTGGTCCCGTCACCATAAAGCCTTGCAATGATATCTGTCTTACTTTAATGTTCTACATGTACAATCAATACAAAGATACACTGGATCTCAATACTGGTCACTAAATTCTTGTTTAGATGATTCCCTAAGGTCTTATGCCTGACTACTTACATGGTTACCATAGATGATGGTTTCAAAGGACTGCTTTAAAACGTATTATCCTTTTTGATTCTAATTGGCCTCCGTCAGTTCTAACGTTTTACATAAAAGGACATAATTAAAAAATCTAGCCCTTGCTAAGTCTTCAAATTAGCTAAATAGAACCTCACTAACTGATCGTCAGCAAGTGTAACCAGTATGCAGGTCTGTGCTATAAGTTCTACTGTCTATACAGTAATGATTTCCAACTTGTAGTCACAACGCCATTAACATGTGGTTGTTTAATTGAAATCCATTTTTAAACAACTTCTTGTCATGTTTTCCTTGATTGTCTCTGTTTTTAATACTTTACTTTACTTTTGTCTTATCCATATTTACCAGTTCTATAGCTCTCAGGGCTCTGAAATATTACCATCTGATCAAAGTTCTCTTATTTTAAGGCTTCTTAACGATTTTTTAGGTTCTCTTGATTCCTCATATTCTACAGACTTCTGCTAGTCTCAGGGTCATTTTGTGTTAAACTCTGTCTGAACTTATCTCTGTAGTTATTTGGGTGCTAGATATAAGCCTAACAATGGTCACATTGTGTTGGGGCTGTTTATGTTCTTCTTCTGTGGTCTTGTGGTCTGCACTGAAATGGATGCTCACTGGAAGCTTGCCCGGTGCTTTGCACCCTTAGTGATTTCACATAATGCTGTTAATACTGCGTTTTAGTCTGTCTTCTTGAGTGCATCAACAAACAACAAACATTTTCTCTTTCTTTAGCCTTGGGAACGATCAGCTTCCCTGGTAGGTTTCTGTCATCAGACTTTAACCTCACGGTTCATCAATAACATCTATTCATTACTGCTTCTACCAGCTTTAAACTTTGACCTGTATATATTTCCTCTAACTGCTATTTCCTGCCTTTGGGGTTCAGATCGAAATGTAAGAAAAGGAGTATTGACAATTTAAACATTTATCATGAGGCATAGCTGCAAGAAATGAACGCTTTATTTCCTGATCAAATGAGATCTGACCTTCATCTAAGTCAACTATAGATCAAAATGTCATTAATGACAATAGTCCAGTATGCAAAAAGAAAGTGAAGCCCTTTTTAATTAGAAAGTTACTTCAAGGCAGGTGTTCAAGCAAAGGAAAATAAGATTAGAAGTGGAAGGCTGATGCTTTGCCATAGCTAAAGTTATACTTTGATCATAAAAACTTAATCTTACAGAAATCACATCATGAGCACAATCGTGACAGAGGTAAAGAAAAAACCCAGAAGTAACAAATTTTCCTGTTATTTAATTGCTTTTCTGTTAGTTGATTACTGTGGTGTAGTATGAATAGCCATAAAAGTTAAAAAATCTATGCAGTTGTCGGTCTTACCATTTGTCTGTTTATCTCTCTGAACAGCGAGGGCTCTTGGCCAGTTGAATCAGGAGACGAGCACATCTTTTATAGTCTGCAGAGAAGCAAAACAACACACTGTGTTTAACTGCTGCTTGAAAAAATCAATTTACTAAATTTCCAAAACCAAACACGACCTGCAGCTGCAGTGTCACGAGATGTTTAGCCTAGCTGAGTGAGAAGACTGGTAACAAGAGGAACTGTTAGCTAGAAGCCATCCGATCTGACTAATCCTGGGGATAGCAGTAATTGATCATACATCACCAAAATGTAACTATTAATAAAGTGAAAAACTTGTTCTACTTGGACTTGTCATGAACAAAAGTGTTTAAATACTCTGTGAGAAAACTGCTCTTTTAAAAATGAATGGTTTTTCACACATGACTAATTTCCTAATTGATTTAACTTAAATGTGAGTTTGTATGTGCTTGCTCAAACATTTTATTTATAGACATAATTATAAAGTAGTGACACCAAAAGTTTGGGTAGTAAATAAACTACTGTCTTGAAAGCAATCTACTATATTATATATTATTATACATAAATGTAGGACTATCAAGGTGTAACCTCTGATGTATTTAGTTGTATTTATTGTGTTTAGTTCAGTACAAAACTCTCCCCATACATCCTTTGATTGCCCTAGTAATGTATCTGCTTGTTAACCTTGAAAGTCTGCAACGAGAAGACATAAACCTTCCCTCTTGAACAAACCAGGTCAAAAACTCAATATTTTAGGCAACACAAAAAAATCTTCTATAACCTCTGTAACCAAGACAGTGCCCATAACTAAAGTATGGGCACCTTCTTGGTTGCACTGTTTGTATATTTCTAATTTCCAAAGTCACCACCATGAATTCACAATGACATCAACTTCAGATGTGAATGAGATAAGAAACTTGAACTTAGATAAACATTTTTTCTTCTCTGTCGTCTGACAAACATCCAGCCAATAAACCGACGGATTTACTGTGTAAACAGCCTCTGAACAAGTTTGAACCTCCACAGCTCCTGTAGTGCTCACCTTTAACATGCCTGCCACTGCCGCCACACAAATGCATACACACACAAACACATTCACATTTTTAGCTGTGTCTCTGTGAAAACCTTTGTTCAGATACTTTAATCCAAGGAGATTTCGGCTACTACAGCTCACTGGTTTAAACTTTATTGTAAAACAACAAAAAGTTCCAGGTAGGCATCAAATGAAAGTGGGAAAAGTGCACCTGTACAAATAAAGTATATGACTAATGATTCATCTAATGGTTCAGGGCAATAAGAAAAAGAGAATATTCTAATCAATGTGGGTATTAAATGAGAATTATTATGGATGTACGCTACATGTCTGAGTGTCCTCACAATTAATAAATCAGGCTCAATCACGAGCCTTAAATTTCACAGCGGTCCTCACAAACTTGCTTGGGCACACATATTTCTATCCACACATACACTCACTCTCTCCAAGAAAAACAAAAAGCTACATGCATGATTTAATATCATAAGAGCTGATGCTGTTCTGACATGATTACACTGATAACAGTGTAACACAGTGTGGTTGTGTGTTAAAACACGTCTTATCCTGTTTTTTCAATCTCAACAAACTCCTGCAGCAACACATCACTGTGACACACACACACTAACAAGAAGGAATCTAACCAGCAATCATTGGTATGACTCTCAAATCATTTGGTGCCTTTGTGTGGATGAATTCCTGTTTAAAGATGAGACGTTGTTTTTGCCTACATCACTACTCTACAGATCTTTTCTAGCGTTCAGACTGTTTTAGACTTCATGTTTAATGTTCTGTGGGCTGAGAATGCCTCATAAAAGCACGAGTCTTCATAAGGAGGAAAAACCAACATTTTGTGTGTGTGTGTGTGTGTGTGTGTGTGTGTTAAAAACAGGCGCTAAATTTCAAGAAACTTGGCAGAGAAGCAAAGCATGACCAAAGGAAGAATCTATTTTATTTTGCTACTGAATCATTTTCCTTTAACGTGGGGAATAAGGACGTTGACCTTGGTGGAGGATTTGCTCTTTCAATCCAATCCTACTTTTCTGCAACAGGAAATATGCTTTGAAGCAAAATATGACAGGATCCAGACATAACTTCTAAGATATTTCTTGAATTTATTTACATATTTGACATATTTTCCTTTTCCCCAAGTATTCAGTCCTGGACACTCATACATTCCTCAGTCTACTTCAGAAACCTGTTTGTTTTTTCTTTCTGTAAAATTTTGCCAGAGAAATGACAGGGTGAAATGAACAAATATTTTCTGTTACTATTGGTTAATTCTTGCCGGTTAAGCAGATTTTAAACCTACATACAAAAACATATGGAAATATTAACTTTCAAGAAGCTAGTGCAAGTAATTCCACTACTTCAGCTTTCATGTTTTTCAGGATAAGATAATTAAAAGACTCACAGGCTGGCTCTGTGCAGTCCCTGGTTTTGTGGTACAGTCGGTGGAACTGTTTTCGGCACTTTGGGCTGAAGTATAGAGGACCTGAGGAGAGAAAGAAAAGTGGTAAGTCAGGCATAAAAAGTCAACACAATGATGAGCTTTGTTTGTAGAAAGAGCTATGAGTCCTTTAAGAAAGGCAGTGTTGGTGGTCTTGCAACCACAACTAGTTCTGGCTGCAAATGAAAAATTTAGCAGCCAAGCATCCAATAAATTTTGAGCTACTAAAATTTGGACTTTATTTGATAAAGTACTGTAGCCCACAAACACTTTTCTGTTCAATGCTGTTTCAAAAACAAAAAAAGTTGGGAATCAGAATGCAATATTTTGTAAATAAAGAGAATACAGCGATCTGCAAATCAGAGAAAGCCTATATTTAAATGAGAAATCTTTTAAATCTCTCATTTAAATAAACACACAAATATATATATATATA